GCTTGCATTGTGATCTGTAAACCCTCGCTTCCAAATGAATCGAGTAACCCACCATATTTTAGGCAGCTGTGTTCCTGATGGCAGTGGCCTCTTTCTGTAGGATAATGCACCCTGACTTGAATTGGAATTGTGACTGATCAGTGTATCTTGACCAAGAAGAACATAAAGGCTGACTTGAACAGGCCTGTGGAGCTCTGTAGAAGTGTTTTATGGAGTGATGTGACTCAGCTGGAACTTTTTGGACTCATGAATCAGCAGTACTGTATGTCTGGTGCAAAAAAGGCAAAGCTGATGAGCAGAAGAACACCATCTCCTCGGAGAAGCAGTCTTGTTATGGGGGAGCTTTACTGTTGCAGGAAGTGGAAGTCTTGACTGTATGAAGCACATCATGGATTCTCTGAAGTACCAGGCCATTTTGTCAAAGATTGTGATGTCTTTGGTGCATCCCACAGTATTCATCCATTCTACTGAAGCTCGGTTCAGGGGTTGAATGTTCTTGAGTGGCCTGTTCAGTCTCAAGATTTAAATCTCATTAAAAATATCAATAAAAATGTGAATGTTTAGATTTTTTTTAAATGAACTTTACATTCTCAAAATCACTCAAATGTTTGAACATTTTCATATAATTTTGTTCATGGCATCAGAATGTCTTGCAGGTCAAAACAGTTGAATCATTTTGATTGCAACTCTATGTATGTATGTGCGTATGTATTTTTCATTCTCTCTCTCTTGTTGTCAGTATGAAGACGTTGCAGACAAGGATGATCTGATGGGGGTGGAGGACACAGCCAAGAAAGATATCCTTGAAATCTGACCACAGTCACATAGAATTAGCACACCAGAGGACTCACTTCAGCATGAATAGGAAGACAGTAAACATATTTCCTTTTGAGTTTGGTGGAGAAAGGCGTTTGCTTTTCACTGTAGCGTTATAATGTGGTTGATTTCTTTAACTGCTAAGCAGGCTTTTTCTCCAAGCCTTCTCTCAAGAGCAGGAACACAATTTTCACTCTTGGCCAGAGGGGGGCAGTATTGAGTCCTGCGGAGCTGGAGGGGCCAATACTGATCCCACACGCCGCTCAGAGAGGAGACTCCAGAGTGAGACACTCATCTTCTGCTTTACAGCGCTAGCCCTAAGAATTAAACTCTGGCTAACTCGTCTAGCACTGTCTGTGCGCCGGGCAGCAGTCATATTTCAGCTCGTTTCAGACTTTTTTTTCTCCCTGGCAAAATGAACAACAAAACTTCACGTAGACTTACATCGAGCTGTATCTAGAGACCAGAACATCATAGTAACATGCTAATGAACATAGCTATCATATATATTTTTGCAGCCTGGATTTTCTCAGAAATTGCAGCAATGTTTGCAGCATTTTTTTTGTTTTGCAGTGGAAACCCTACTTAGTGTAAATGTGTAAATGCTGAATTTGTAATAATAGTCCCTCATGCAGATGGCAGTGCTGATAATCAGCATAGAATCATAATTATTATTTTTTTTTTAAACACTGCAGAAATCAAACAAAAATGCAAGCTTTAAATTCTGCGATTGTGAAATCCGAGAGGGACTGGCACACACACACACACACACTTATTCTCCATAAACCGTCTGCGTTTGTGTTTATTACTGTAGCAGTGTAGTCTGTGATCTGTCTCTCTCTGTCTCGGTCAGTACCCGTACGAAACGCTCTTCCGCAGTCAGCACTACGCTCTGCTGGATAACGGCTGTCGAGAGTTCCTCTTCCTCTCGGACTTCTTCATGGTGGCCGGAAACTCTGCTCTGGATTTGTTCAACAGCATTATGGGAAAAACACTCAGCATGTTCCTGGTACAGTCACGCTCTTATTACATGATATTCTCACATCTCCAGTGTTTTAGTAATGCAGTTTGCAAACAAAAAATACAACCACCCCAGGTACCCTAGCACCCACCTTAGCAACCACCCCAAGTACCCTAGCAACCGTCTAGAATACCCTAGCAAGCACTCTGTATTATTACATTTGTAATAGTTTTTTTTATTGAACATTGTCCCATTGCATTTTTGTCTCTTTTCTCTGTCTGTAGAAGAATCTGTCCACATACCTGTCAGACTGTTATGACAGTATTGCGGTGTTTCTCTGCATTCACATCATTCTGCGCTTCAGAGCCATCACAGCCAAGAGGAACATCCCCGCGCTCGACAAGTCAGTCCCTCTGTCATCACAAACGATCTGTAGAGAGCATGCTTGTCTGCTCTTACTCTGTCCAGTCCTGTGAAATGTACAAAATGAAAATTCACCTATCATCCATGATATTGGTCTTTTTTAACAATTCATCCATGCATATGTTTAATTTCTATTATAGTTACATATTTTTGACCTTTTTATGCCTTCTATTGGTTAGGGCAGTAGGGCTGGGAGCAGAGCCTGTGAGACTATTGGCAACAACACGTTTTTTTTTTGAACTTACAATTTTTAACCAAAACCTCATAACGCAACCCAAACAACCCACTTAATCTGTGAACTTTGCTGGGTATTGCTACCAACTCACAAGCCTGTTTGGCAGTTTAACAATCTTAAATGATGTTGTATTAGTTTGCATGCCATCAGAGCCAGTCCTGACATTAGCAAAACAAAACGTGACGCTCCATTACACTGGAGATGAGACGAGAGGCCACGTTTTCAACACGTTCTCACTCCCTATAGGCATCCTGTGTTGCATGTCTAAGACTTTTTACAGACTTTTAGTCAGGACTTTTTTCACTATACAGACATCAGGCATGCCCTTTGGCATCTTTAATGCACCACTGCTGGGAAACCCATTGCTTTCCATTGGAAACATATTCAGTTGGCTTTTTTAAATAGATGTCAGTGGTGGAAATGTCTGGTGGAGTGTTTTGTGAGGAAACAGTTGAATGTTTTGGCATTGACAGCCTGTCCGTTAGTCTTCAGCATGCTTAGCTTTAAATATTAATTTCAGAGTGAGCTACAACAAAATAAATGCTGTTTATAAGAGAAGTCAATGAGAATTTTGCTACAGGTAACAAGAGCTTGTGACATGCTCGCATCAAAATACAGTCAACAACATTTTTTTGTCTCGATAATGTTTGATGTGTGTGTGTGTGTGTGTGTGTGTGTGTGTG